CGATGGAACAAGGATCATGTCCCTAGTTTACCAGCGGGGGACGCACGCATCAAAATGGCTACGCCATTTGAACATGTAGAACAGACGAACGTCCCACGCATGGCTTGAATGTTCGTATCACGCGACGATGGACGAACGTCGTTATCAAGTGCTGGTGCTGAGAAATACGTTCCTACGTCTACACTTTGAGCATACACCATAAACCGCCGACGAGCGTCGTTCCATTGTCAGAATACTTTGAGGACGATGGGCAGGCATCCGAGCCTCGCAGCGGCGCCCGAAAAGGGCTCGAGCCGCACCTCCACACCTTTGAGTACGTACGGAGGTTTGACTTCGGGACGCCTTTGCCTTGAAGCAAGTAGAGAACAGATACGAACGTCCTCTCGGACTCTAACCCTGCTACAAGGCGTGTCGAGCCGCCGAAGGGGTTTCCATACAACAGATGATGAAGGAAACAAAAATGAAATAATAAGTAGAAATCATGAGCATGGAACAATTATGGGCAAAAGGGTGTCTGTATTCTTCGGCTCTGACGGCCGGACATTACAAAAGCTAGAATGAAAAATTACAAATTACATTATACAAAGAAAGGGGATTCCGGTCGGCTGCCACCCTGGTTCGGCTCCTCCTCCTCTTCCTCGGGCTCGGGGGACGGGGGTTCCGGAATTTCCCCTCTAGCCTTGGCCTCCTCCCGCCGTTGGTCTCTCCCCAACTTCCCCAAGGCTTGAAGCAGCAGATCGTCGTCTGTATGTGCAGCAAGCTCGAAGTCGGCCCCCTGCAGCCTTGAGAAGATGGGAAGGGTGGCCTTGACCCCCTCATTATAGCCAGCGGCGAAGGAGCTGTCGCCGACCTCGTAGAGGAACTTATGCGACAGGGGGGAGCTCTCCAGGATCCGCACGCCGCTCGCCAAGCGCTGCCGGGGCGGGATCTTTGCCAATGCTGCGGAGAATACGTCACCGAAGGCCCCGGCGCAGTAGTCCCTGGCGGAGTCCATAAACTCCCCGGTGTTCCGATAGCCGGAGGTATCATCCAGCCACTCCGGACTGGCATCCCTTGCAGCAGGGTGCACCGGTACAAGCTTGAAGCCAGCTTTCTCAAGGCTGACCAGCTGCTGGCGGGATTCCGCCCGCAGAGCGGCGACCTCTCTCTCCTTGGCCGCCGCCTCCGCCTCCGCTCGACGAGCGGCCTCCCGAGCCGCAGCAACGGCCGCATCAGCCTTGGCCTTGGCCTCCTTCAGATCGGCCTCCCTGGCAGCTTCAGCCTGAAGGACTAGAAGCCCAGACTGGATGACGGAAGAAAAAATAAGGATCAGAGGATGAACATCAAGGAAAAAGTATATATACTCAGATCTAGCAAGGAGGAATTACCTGAAGAGCAGCTGCCAGGGCAGCGCTTGTCGCCTCAGAGGACGAACGGCTGGGCAGCTCGAGACCGGCCTTGAGGGCCATCTCCCTCCAAAGCTCTTCCGCCGGGCGGCTCAATGGTAGAGAGCCGGCATCTTCAAGCAGGGGCCCGGCGGAGCCTGCCTCGCGGCCCCTCTTCTGCCTCTTCTCGGGGACTTTCTCCGTTCCCTTTTGAGGGGCCGCCTTCGACGGGACGACCGGCGGTGGAAGGGCAGCTTCAAGAGCAGGGGCCCCAGAACCCTGAGCCGGCATAGTGGCGATCAGGTGCTGCTCACCCTCGGCAGTTCGCCGGGCAGCGTCAGAAGCCGAGGAGTTGGACTCTGAGGCGGGGGGCATTTTTGGCTTTCGCCAGTGCGGCTTTAGCAGCGGCTGCTTTGGCCTTCCTTGTCTTCAAACACTCGGCGTGATTCATCTGATCTCTGTCTGGCGGAGAACCTGCAAGAAACAACAAGGATTAGAAGACGAGCGGGGAATAGAGTAAGACACTCACCTCGAAGGACAGGACCGCCCGGTGCCCCGAGACGAGCGTCGAAGGGTAGAAAAAGTCCAGGGACACGGGCGGTACCTATGCCTGCCCCGGAGAGTGCCTCGAAGGTCAGATACTCGGCTATTGGACGGACGCCCCCCTCCAACACCTTCTCCACATCCCAAAGTAGATCGTCGGTCGGCTCCGGTGACTCAATCTTTGGGGGATAACCATTCCACCGAACCGGGAGGGGGGGCCCATCATATCTAAGGAAGAAGAAGCGGTTCTTCCAGTCGTGAATAGACGAAGGGTAGTTCTTGAAAAGCTTCCTCCCTGGACGTGCGGCCACGCTCAGATAACCATCGGAGTTCTGGGGAGTGATGCGGTAGAAGTAGTGGAAAAGCTCCAGGGTGGCAGTGGCTCCCGCTAGTTTGCAGCGCACCAGAAAGGCAGATATGAACCTATAAGAATTTGGCATGAACTGCGCTGGGGCCACCTGGAAACAGTGGAAGAACTCCACATAGAACGAATGAAGTGGAAACCGCAGCCCAGCTTCTACGGAATCCAGGTGAAGCATGATCATCCCTGGCCGTCGCCTCATCACGTGCTCGGCGCCTCTCACGCTCCAGACGAACGGCGGGGGGAAGAAAGTGCGGATCTTGTTTAGAGCAACGCGGGAGAGGACCTGATCATGGTCAAGGGCGCTTCTGATCGGACAGATGTGGCGCTCCATGTCCGTGGGGATGCCCAGGTCATGTACCTCCATGTCAGAGCCTGATTCGGCTTCTTCCCCGGAGTCATAATCGGCGGGGCGCTCATTCAGGGGGACCGCATCAATAACGTCCACTGCCTCATCGGCATCCCCATCCCTGGCGCTGCTCCCACTACCTTGGGAAGCACCACCCGGCTCACCATCAGCCCGGATGGTTCCCACCGTCGTGGCCGAACCCGAGGTTCCGGAAACACTAGTTTTTCCCAGGGAGCGTGCATTCGCATTGTCAGAAGAGGAGTCCGAGGAGGAACCCGACGAACCAGAATCAGAACTTGACGAAATCTCCATCGAAGTCATTCCGGCTAGGAATCAGAGTAAGGAAAAGAAGCAGAGGGGGGAAATTACCTTACGAAAAAACTAGCTGAACTCAGGAGCCAAGCAGAGAATTCGAAGAACGGCGGAGATTCTAACGCAAGAGAGCAGAAATTGGGAACCCTAATTCAGAGGGAAAACCCGGCATTTATAGGAGAAACACCGATGGGGAAACCAACGAGGGGCTGACACGTGGCCAGGAGCGTATTCCGGCCCACGCGCTGTGCGTGGGATGGGAGCGCAATGATGACGCTTCCTCGGGAAATTGCACCGCCGCAACATCAGCCGTCACCTCGTTTCCTGAACCGTCGACAGCTGTCAAGCACCATGACCACGAGCGTACGCTCCCAACGGGTGCAGAAAAAACACAAGTGTCAAGACACGAACGTCTACCTGGAGGGGATTCCTACTTCCTTATGTCCTGCGCGAGCCCAGAACATCAGAAGTGGGGGACTTGTGTTGGGTAAATGGCCCAAGCCGAGGTCCGGCCCACTAACCCGTATTGCCAGACGCACGTCCAGTTCGAACATCAGGACAGCCCGCGGGCCCATGTCTCTTAAGGATGGACGAACGTCTGGTGTTGGAGGACTCAGGCCCAGCAGCTCATCCCGACGAACGTCTATGCAGGGACAAGGAGCAGAGCCACGGGCCACCAGGGATGGCAACGAACGTCTCCAGAGCAAGCCTTGTAGTCATCGGAGGAGAACCCAGTCCACATGGTGAGTATCTATTAAGGCCAGGAGACGAACAGCCGATATCTCTCAAGGGTCACTTGGAGCAATCCAATTCACTTCCCGGGTGGACGAACGTCCCCACTGATCCGGCGGGAAACCTAGATTCTGGCGGGAAGTGCATTTAATGCTAAAGATTTGGTAGTTGGGACACCAGCGGTCCACAGGCTGCCACGTCAGTACAGCCACCTGCCCATTGGTGGGTATAAATAGAAGCATTTATTTCATTGAAAGGGGGTTGGCAACTTTCTATTCTTAGCATACTAGCTTCAGCATTCTTACTCGCAGCATTTTCTAACTGCCTTGTAAGACGAACGGCCGACGTGCCTTTTTTAGCAAGTAGATTGTACTTAGGGGAGTTATTACGAAGTTAATAATACCTATTTACATTGCCTGCTATTACTCTTGTTTCTTGATCCATCTGATAGTTGTTGGGCTAGACATTCATACACTCACTCCACTCGAAATCTTTGGGCTTATGTGTTGGGTCCAAGGGTTGAAGGAATAAACCTCAACAACGCATTATTCGACTCTTAATACTCAGTAGAATACGGTTGATGCTCATTAAAAATGTATTAATGCTCATCTAACGAAATCCGCGATTTTTACTCAAATTACGAAAATGCCACCGTTTTTAGTCGTGAAGTCAGCTTTCTTGTACTAACACGGTGCTCATTATTAGACGCTTAATAATCATAAAAATTGGACTATTGCTCATTAACACTACACAAATGCTCATTGAGCAGAAACCGCAATTTTTACATTAGTTACAAAATTGCCACCGTATTATTTTTCTATTTTTCCATTCGCTGATTTACCGTTACTTCAGCTTTAGAGCATCATGCTCTTGAGTCTTGAAGGGTGAGTTTCAAACAGGGTGACTTGGTATAAATTTGGGAAGAAACACAGGCAATAGCTAGGACTTGGGAGTGAACGTTTTCTATTATCAGACGGATTAATAATGGACATTGGACAATGCATATTCGGATTATTGCAATAAATTTTTCCAGATGATTTATTGTAACTTCGACTGAAAGTAAACTGATATGAAAAATGCTTTAGGTACACGTTTTGTGTACACGTTTTGTGTACACATGTCTGTCCTTCACAGACAAATTGTCTGTGACAGACAATTTGTCTGTGAAGGACAGACATGTGTACACAAAACGTGTATCTCTAGCAAAACCCAAACTGATATTAGAAGCTTCCATAGTTCCGTTCTATGACAAATGATATTGGGAATTGTGACCAATCTAGCTTTTTACCGTTTTCCAGTAATGTAACAGAAGCCAGAGAAGTCAAATGCATCTGCAAGCCAGTAGATATGATATTTATGTACATACCTCAAAATGAATATAATATAGCAGCAGAACGCTTTCTCAATTAAATGGGTAACAAAGATACAGGATGGAATAATGAGTGGAGCAACCAACTAATATTTGAACAAAACTGCTGCATCCACTCTGACCAATGTTGAAACTTACAAGGCCCCCCAATATCATGAGCAAAAATTGTGCAAATAAAACACTTCTATTATACAAAAGCTAGACCCTAACATCAATGGGGTGAATTAGTTAATCTATACATTGGCACTGCTTCCAAGGAGTGATGAGACGTTCCGAAATTTCTGTGTCTGCCATCAGCAACATTAGTCAGCTGAAAACCATGTTTGGGTAGTTGGTTTATCAGAAGAGTTTCCAGTTCACAAGCCACACTTTTTCCAGGGACAAAAAAATAGAGGAAACTCGCCTTCTCCATTACCTCATTTGAGCGATGAGCACGGATTCGGCCCCCAAGATCGTCACTCTGTGTTTGGTACATGTGAGAACATAAATGAGATTGACATCACTTTCATTATAAACAACCGTTTTATATCATGAACGATAACTTCTGCCATAATCTGTTGGTTTTTGGAAAATTTGAGGAAACACACTTTAAGATATCATGAGCAAAAAATGTGCGCATAATTTTGAAAAAGCCACCTTAAAGTAGTACAAACACAGCTCCAGAGTTAATGGAGATTTATAATTTAATAATTAATGTAGAAAAAATGTGAAATGTACAATTTTTAGTGGGGTCTTGACAAAAGTTAAGGAAAAACTATAGGCAAAAATATGACTATTTAAATATTCCAAGAGTGCTGCATATATGTAATTTTTAATATGTTACTCCTAATGACACTCCACAATCATCACTACCTCAACTCCAGTGACATCACCACATCCCATCATTGCCACTGCGCTACCAGTCACGGTAACCAGCAGCAGCTTCCAACAACTGTTTCCGTAAGACGGCTGCCGTCAAGGGGCTGGAAAGGGCAGCGATGGCAGATGGGAAGTTGATGGGGGGGAGAAGAGAGATTGTGATAGATTTAAGTTTAGAGATTATTTAAGTCACTTTTATGTTCAAAATAGTTTTCAGTCATATCTGTGTTCATCGAAACTCTTGGAGTAATATTTTAGTCCTTGTTTATTTTTTATTTGCAAATATGGATTATAAATTGGTCCCAGACTATAAAACATATTTGTGAATGTTAAAAGCAATTGTAACTTTGCCATACCATAAGGCAATTAATTGAAAATAAAAGAACATACCTGTCCAACATAAAGTTTGTTATCTGGTCTAAGCATCACATAAACAGTTGAAGTACCAATGGTCGATGGAGGGGGCTGTTCTCTCACAGGGATCATAAAATACTTAACAGCAAGTTCAGACGGGTGTTTCATCTTGTGGAGTTCCATTAACTTCTCCTGACAAATCGTGGTAATAGTATCTTCTAGTTCCTTCCAAATGATTTTCTTTATGTTTGATTTTCTTGTGGAAGACATGAACTCTTCTTTTGAACCATTGAATTTGTCAGCCACTTCATCACTGCTACTTGTACTGGGTTGAACAGTAAAACGATTTGGTTCTGAGGTTCTATTCGTTGAGGATGAACTTTGCATAAAATAATATGATTGGTAAAGCTGTTCAGCCCTACAAATTATCTTTTCAGGGATTCCTTCTCGCTGAGCGGTTTCAAATGCAAGGCTTTCTCTACAGATTCCATCCACAAGTTTCCAATTCGGTACAGGTTGACCATCAATATAATCTGTTCCCATTGCTTTGCACACTGTCTTTTTGGTATTCAAATGCAAATCAAAGATTCCATGCAGGTGGGTTGATACAATCCCCAAACAGCCTATCTCATCCAGAGTTTCTATAATACTGCCAGCAATACATGTTCCTTTTGCTGTTTCTGTTCCTCTGCATATTTCATCAATAAGTACTAGGCTTCTTGAAGTGCATCCATTAATTAGGGAACGTACTTCAGACATTTCAATCTGGACCAGCAATGTAAAATAAACAAAGTGCAAAACTAATCAACAAAACAAAGGTAAGAAACAATAATTGCACATCAGCACATATATTCCTAATTGCAGATTTCCACCGTGTTTCTTGTCCAATATGTTTTCAAAAAATATTTACTTCGCCATATCTCAGTTCTGTTTCTCCATTTACGTGCTTCACGTTCAAGAATATGTTTTCAAAAAATATTTACTTCGCCATATCACAGTTCATAGTATTACATAAGAAATTAGGTGTGGAGTGTACTGCACCTGGAATGAGCTTTTTCCATCAGCAGGGCTATCATAAGATTTCATGTGTAACATAATGGAATCAAAATGAGGAATGACAGCTGATTCAGCCGGAATCATGAATCCACATATCCCAAGCAATGCAGCAGCACATATTGATCGTAGCAAGCTTGATTTTCCACCTCCATTTGGCCCGGTTAGCAGAAAAAGTGATTGCATATCAACTGAATTTTGTACAGCGCTGCCTCGCACTACATCAAACCAATAAGGAGATAGACCAGATATCTTCATCATAATAACCCCACCATGTGGCTTCCAGTCCTACATGGACAAGGTTGTTTTCTTATTTTAACTAATATACCTACTGAATCATGAAAGCTCATCAGTCCTAGTATTGCTACAAATTTAATTATACTGTGCTAATGCTAAGCAATATATAACAAATTTTACTTGGACATGAATGCCACGTGGATTCAATAAAATCAGTAAGTCTTTAAAACCAAATATGTTATGAAATAAGAAAGAAAATTATTCCAAATTAATCCCCAAAACATAAGTAATTCACTTTTAGGTCCCCAATTACTAAAAGTTGGAGGCAAATATCACTCATTGTGGTTCCATTATTAAGGGTGGAAGTTTGAACCACGAAAATAATAGCAAAATAAAATATGGGGGGTGAAGAAAGTTGGAAGTCAAGCAAATTTAGAGACAGAAAAACAAAATCAAACTCAATAGATCAATTTTTAGATATATGTTCAAGTCCATCTAAGTATATGTAAAATGTTAACAATTTTAAACACATATGGTTTTTTATTCATAGTTACTAGGGTAAAACCAAGCATACATAAATAATTTTAATAACATTTCCCAATTTTAATAGTCCCAAGTTACTAGAATGTTACCCATATTCAACAATTGGAAGACAATGCTGTCTAACGCTCATGATATCAATCTTATTGACTTTTCGATTTAATGTAAGTTACCCAGTTACTAGGAAGGCGTCATAAATGCACATTCTATGCATCCTGGGTTAATTTGTGCTTTTGTTGAAGTGAATCCACATCTGCACAACGCCACACAACTAAAATTCAGGATAAGCTGGCAAAACATAATACCTTGGACCCATGAAGTTGCATGAGGCTTGGGAAAATCCATTTTCTCCTCCTCCCTTCACTGAAAAGGAAACAAGGGAATACATGAATCAGGCTATATAGAGAAATGATTCATGTTTGGTGTACCAATAGACCTTTGTACTGTGATGTTGATGATTGATGTAAATATAAGAAGAAAAGACAAATACTATCGTAATTTTCTTACCTCAAAATAGAATATGATTACTATACGTACACATTACACAATAATAGCTCCTTGAGCGACCCAATTCAAAGTATTGGTGGCTCATCGAATAAGAGTACATAGATTATATTTTTCTAAACACTGCTCCAGTTAGAGCACGCATAACGCAATATAATAGGCTCTAAACTTGCGACATATGTATTCATTCTAGGCCATCTAATAGATTTAGTTAGTATATCTGCCCAGTAATAATTCAATCCAATAACAGTGGCAATAGAAAATCTCATAACTTAATATAAGAAGCGGGTAAGTATACCAGGAGTATATCAATTTACAGATGGTCCCAGGAAGAGGAACATGTTCATATAAGTAAGTTTACCGACCTCACGTGAGCAAACAAGGCCTTCGCAATTATAACAAGCATGGATGCAAAGACAATGATATTGATCTTAGTTTGTAATGCAGAAGAAAGCCCTCTAAGCAATTCCAGCACCTCCAGCTTGGCCTTAGCATTAGCCTCATGATACCTGAAACAATATCTGAAGTTTACAGCTTACAGGGGAAAAAACATTTACTGCAGGAAGAATACATGCAGAGCTTTTTATTGCATCTGAAAAACCTGCCTTGCTAATGCTTTCTCCACATTCATTGTGGTAAACCATTCATCCCCAACCTTCTTTCCCTTTGAGTCCACAGCAGGTTTCAGTCGTTTAATTTGATCTTCTCCAGGGGTCCCAGCCCAAACAGAAGGAATAAAACGCTTCCCTTTGAACCATACTGCCTGATGATCTCGAGCGTACAAAATCTCCCCCTTAGGCCCTCCAAGTGGAGCATTCATGGCCTTTACTCTCGAAATAATGGGCAGGAAATCTTCTGTAACCTAAAAGCTCATTTAAACAGTTTTATCAGATTAGATGTCTCTCCTACATAACCGCTTGTTACCTAGCACTTGACCATGCTAATTTTGAATATTTGAATCATGAGCAAGCTTAGAACACAGAGATCCATAAAGGCTGTACACCTATGTTTTGCATTTGGATGTTCCACACAAATTGCATCATATATCCTATGATTACCCTACCGTCTTCACAAGTCACAACTAAAAAAATCTTCTCATCCCTTTATTCCCTTGTAAAGGAAAAATTTCAGATGAGCATCCCTTTTTTCAACAATTCCATTGAATGTATTTGATGCACAGCCATGGCAACCGAAAATATGTAAAGAATGGGGCTATGTAAAATATAAATGGTGTGTACGTCTGTAATTTATAGTTACAGATCATGTAAATAGTAACTAATAAGTATGCATACAAGTCATATTGCCTATAGCTTTTCATGGTTAGTAATTTCAGAGCATATGTTTATATAGAAGTCTTATTGTTTGTAATATTATAGTTAGTAACAATGAGAGTAAAATAAATTTAGAGTGCACAATAAGGAGATTCACGGGTTACGGGTGTAGTGGATTAGTGTCTAATTGTCTATTAAAGATTAAAATGATGGAGATCTAGTTTTGTTGATTCAGGCACATCAGTTGTCTAGAAATGTTGCCATACGGAGAGTGGAGTCTTGTAATATAGGATTCTGACACATGGTATGGTATCCCATGTGTTTATCCAACTAATATATACAACCTGTAATAGGCATTTAGAGCACACAAAAAAATGTAGTACAATAACACATCAATGAAAGAATCTAGACAGCTAGAAAGATAGGGAAACTCGGCTCATATAAGCAGAGAATCCACAGATACAGTTTCCTCCATTGAAAAGGGTGGAGAACTTACAACTAATGATAGGGCATCTGCTGCCCTCTCAACTTCTGCATATGCTTCCTCCAAATGAACCCTCTTGACACGGCCTTTCCATAAAGACTCTGCGTCTTCAAAAAAATCTTTAGGGATAATAGAAGAGGAACTTGTTTTCTGATCACTTTCTCCGTCTAGAAAAATAAGTTCACCAATTGTACTAGACACATTCTTACATTCATTTACCTGTAAGAAACATATAAAAAGATTCTAGAGACATTTGAACATTAATAGCTTGCTAAAGAATAACACCCAAACAAGCATACAAGTCAGGATATGGAACATTCGTTTCCAGGACATATCGAGCATACCTAAACCAAAAGAAATATAAATGGACAAGGAAAAATGTCACTTGAGCATAAGATATATGAAATACCAAGTAAACATTGACTTCACCAAGATATAATATTATTGAACTTGTGAAATTCGTATTTACCTTCGATACTAATTGAAAAAAGAATTGAAATCAAGCATATTAATTGAATCCTAATTGTGCAACAAACCAATTGATTTGTAGAAAACAGCACTCATCTTGATCATTCTATGCCAAAGAGGTTGTATCATCACTGCTAAATTGCTTGTCGACTTGAAAAGTAATAATAATAGCATGATTTAAGCACCACTGACATGTACAAGAGCTCAATGTATCGACTGAAATCCATACCATGGAAAATGCCAGGACCGTGGGGTGTGGGGTGGCCGTTTTTTGGCTTTTTTTCTTTTTCCTTTGTTTTTAGGAGATGGGGTGTGGGGTGGCCGTTTAGTGGTCTTTCCCAACATTATATTCGTTCTTCATTAAGATTGGAAGCTAACTTAGAGGAGAAAACAGCAGAAGCAGTGATGATCCTTACCAGCAAATCAAAGTCAACTTTTAAACCAGTAGCCTCCCAAGTAGGATCTATCAATAAATGTAGAATTTGAGCAAGTTCATTATTTTTATTCATCTGCAGTATTTCATCCATCATAGTCTTTATTCTGCAAAACTCTACATGATTTGCTTCCCTCAACTCGAGCAACTTGGCAAGCTGCAAAAATAGCATGCCAATTAAAATGTTAGAAAAACTAGACGTGAAAATGTGCAAACAAATTTAGAAAGAAAAACCTTAGAATATTAAATAATAATGATAATAAGATCTCAAAACTATTAATGATGGGAAACAATTACAAATCATTTGATTAGAACTGTAAAAGCAGTGTGAAGAGAATACAAGAAGAGATGTCTTTGCATGATTCACAGCGGTTACATTTGTCTATCACAAAAAAAAATAACCTCGTTGATCCATGTTAATCAACACAAATGTTTCACTAAAAAAGAATTGAACTTTCGTGAGATACTTTCCACCAGTATTTTGTGCAATATAACATACTAGTAATAAATAGCTGATAACCATTGCAGAGGATCAACTAATGCTCTTCAAAGTAGCTTGACCACATATTCCAACAAAGTAATGAAAATTGAACAGGTAAATAACTTCAAAAGTAAGTAAGGCCGATAATAGTCAAAGATGACATGTTCAATGAGTAGGGCACAATGTGAAAATGAAAGGCTTAACCAAAATTGAAGTGCATTTGAATGCATGGATTTTGAAGAAATAAAACCTTAGGAAGTAATGAAGTACAACCTTTGAGGATGAGACACAAGTAAATTCAGGAAGTGAACAGGTTACGCTCATCATAAGTCGGCATGCTTCTGCAAAAACATGCCAAACCTTACTAAAGAGAATATAAGTAGATATTTGTACCATGCACTTATATCACACATAGAAAACAGTCCAAAACTAGAGAATATTCATAATCAATGTTCTTCTCACAGTCAGACACTCAGACCCCTTTTACCATCATTCACCAAAAAAATGATAATGCGAGAATCTAAAAAAGAAAGAAGAGCCCAGAAACCCAGTAATGCTTGAAGCAAAAGGAACCCAATTGATATTATTACTTTTATTTTTATTAAATAATTAAAAATAATAACAATTGATAATTTAGTCATGATAACAAGCAACTATTACTAATAGTTTTAATAATACGCAACAGAATTCAGGCACATACATACTACATATACTCCATCCCCTCACAACACGAGCAAAACCCCAAAGGAGAAGAGTAGCATGCCCTAAATAAACTATGAAACGAAGGAAGAGTTTAGAATAAAAATTCAGAATATTCTAAGGACACACCCATAAATAACATTTACTCTCATCACCCCATATTGTAAAAAACTATAAATGTAAGATAGGTTTGTCACGAATTCACAGATAATAAAAATGTAAGCTAGCCTTGCATTTGTAGCATTCTAAAAAAGATGAAATAGTAATATGGGTCCCCAAGAGGTAAAAGGCGAAAGGCTAGATAGAAAGGGACCCCATTCATTCATTTTAATTTACCCCAGTGCCGCAAAGGCTCCCACCTATGGTGGGGTAAGGGGGGGTCGGATGTACGCAGTCTTACCCTGTACTAAAGCACAGAGAGACTGTTTCCGGATGACCCATAGTGAAAATCGCATCCAAAATTGTATGGACTGATTGCTGCTTCATAACAAAGAAGCGCAAACAGTTTAGTGAGCCATTTTGCTTTATTCCATCATATTCTCAAGCCAAAAAATAATGAATATTTGGCTCCATTGGAAATGATGAAAGCTAGATAAAAAGGGAATAAGATAGAAAAATAAAAAGTTACTTCCTCTGTCCCGCTAAGATTGTCCCATACTCCCATTTTACCTTTTCGGGAAGTCCCACTAAGATTGTCTCATACCAAATTTGGTAAAAATTGTGTGGCTCTAAACCATTCTTACTTTTTTTTGCTTTATCAATTTAATATCAACCACACAAACTCACTTTCTTAATAATTGTGTCACCTTCTCCCGTCCCAATTTTAGTGGGACGGAGGTAGTAGTAGATTTCAAATTAAGGAAGTGATCATAATTATGAGATTAACAAAAAAAATACCAAAAAATAGGAGAGAATTTAAAAAACTAAAGAAATCATGTATGCAATACATACAATATATTTGGGTTGAGAATTTTGTGAATCGTGCATACAGACATACGAAATATATTTGGATGTGGAGGAAGGATAACTTTTTGAAAAGTTGAATGTTTAAAAAACGAAGCATGATAAGGTGCTGCAAATTAAAATAAAAAAAACACTCTCTTATATTACTTAAATACATTTATACAAGTATATGTTTCAAAATCATATGATGCTTGGATTGAGAATTTAGTGAAAATCATGCATACAGACATACAGTTTATTTGGATAGAGGAATTAGAGGGAGGGGGGGACATTACTAAAAGTTCAGTGTTAAAAAAAGTGTAATAAAATGTTGCTAATTAAAAAAAATCACTCTCTTGTAATACATATTATCATCATAAAAATTTATTATCATTTCTCCAGTTTTAACTTCAAACTTTAAAAAATATCCTTCCCTTTCCCTATTCGAATCCCTCAGAAAAAACATTTGGAAGCTTCACACTTTTAGTATCAGTGATCTAGGTAACCTCCAGACAGTGCAGAACAAAGACATAATTTTTAGAAACCGAGGCAGTACGTTGTATATTGGATGCAATCTCATATGCAGGTGGATTCAAGAGCAGATTTCTTATATACCTGAAAGGAAAAGAATAACAAAACAAATTCAAAGATACCCAACATCCAGTGTCACTATAAGAGACATGAAAATAAAGAAATCATACAGAAAAGACATAAAGGCCAAATATGGTGAAAACATCAAGAGATTGACAAAAGTAGAAAGTCAAGAATAGTGTGAAAGTCAAGAGATGTACAGTTGTACCCTTAGTTATACTTATTCGTGGATGGAATAAAAATAATAGCACTCCCTTTGTCATATAAACATGTGAGGCTTCAATGAGATCAAGTCTTTCTCTTTCTATTCTTGTCAGCAGACAGGGGGAGAAATTTTCTCTCCCCTTCTGCTCACAAACTCACGCACAATACATCATGGCAAAGGAAGTTAAGACCTTTCAGAATGAGGCTAAAATCTCTCCATATTTAACTTTTACAGTTGTCCAGTTGAAAAAAATAGAACAAGAAACTTTGTCTAACCCGAAAGTTTTGCGAAATGTTTGTACATTTTGCAAAAGTTTTTCATTTAGCAGGAGGACCAAGTCCAACCCTTTTTTCTTTGTCAATGCATGAGCATTATTTCTTTGTGGTAAAATTATGATTACATTGAAAAAATTACTCTCCTACAGCTTCATTTTAACAAATCACAGTATTCACAAGTAATGCGTGTGTAGAAGAATGAAAAGCATTATATATACTCAGTCCATACAACTCAAGTGTTCTCACTCAATATAAATCTGACACTTATTGATAATTACTTTCTCTCAAAATAAAGGGTAGCTCTCGGAGTGAAGAACTACATGTTAGAATATAAGAGGTCAAGATTTGTTTATAAGAAAGGTTTGAAAAAGGTTAATAACACATCTTTAGGGTACTCATAAGTCATTAGAGGTTATCTTATTGGTAAGATAGGATAAGACCAGTTGCACTGAATATACTTCCCACTTACAGGACAGGTAGACCTGTGCAATGTGCAGGAAGCAACACCTTTAGCAAAGAAGGAATTCCTTCAGTCGGAATAGCACCTAATCACACGATTCAGCATAACTGTTTTAGGACACAATGATAATTCATTCACTAATAATAAAAATTATTATTATCTGAACTTGTACCAATCTGGGTAGCAGTTCCTAGGTGCAAAGGACGGGGTCTGTTTTCTGATGCAACAGTAGCATTTCTAAATGTGACGTTAAGATCAAGACCATAAATTTCCTTCACCTGAAAATTTGGAGTTTAGTGCATGAAAGGTGGACATGGCAGACAAAAAATGCACAAATAACCACTCAAATATTCAATACAGACCTTAGACAAGAGCTCATTGGTTAGATCACCATCCAACCACTCATAGTTTCTTGCATTACATTCTCCCCACAACAGACCACCATTACCAAACTCCCCCCAGCGAGAAGTTCCTGCAAGAAAATCTCAAACATAATGACAAAAACTTCCAGCATGATGAAATACTCAAATACTGAACAAAATAATTCGATACTTGGATAGACAGACCAAATAGGTGAAGCAATACTATGAACTTTGTCACAGAATGAAACTGATAATCAAGAGCAACTGTCAAGGTAATTGACTAATTGTTGACACAGTCTATCAATATTCTCACATACTTTAATGCAATGAAAAGTGCAAACAAGAATGCTCTGTTTCAAAACTATTAACATTTGAAAAAAGAAAAAGCCAGTCAACGAGTTGGAAGACAAAGAATTGTAGGGTTCTAGTAATACTCTCTGGCTATACAGTGATGATGCTAGACTGTATCCAGAATCCCAATTAGTTGTAACTCCGAATGGATAAGACTAAAGTACGTAAAAGAAGAGAGTGGCATCGCAAACCTGATGAATTGTTTTTCAATGAAGTATGCAAAAATAAATGATGGCACAAAGTAGTCCGAAGCTTAGTAACCAAGGCTTCCTCAGTAAGCCCATCCTCAGTGGAGTAAGTCTTCGTAGTTTCCAAAACAGATGTGATGCAATACCCCTTAGCTGAATGAGATATTCCTAGGACCACAAGTTAGTACACTCAATCTAATCAGTCTAAAGTCCCACAAAACTAGTACGGATGTATGACTGGAATATTGGCAAATAACAATAAAATAATACTCCATCCGTCCCTTATAACTTTGCCAAGTTTGACTGGTATGTGGAATAATAAAGTAAAAACGGTGTGGTTAGGTTTGTGAAGAGAAGAGAAATAATAGGAACTACAAAATAACTGCTTAAAAGGGGAGGTGGATGGTTTAAAAGCAAACAAAAAGAAAGATGGCAAAGTTATAAAAGCAAATAAAAGCAAGTCATAGTGGATATTTTAGCATACCAACTACTGGCATTGGCTCTGGAAAATCAAGATCGTGATCATCTCCAACAAGTCCAAATACGTAAGGATTGCCAGGATGTGCATGCCTAAATGATTATAAATTTAAAAGTGAGAGTTATATCTTCAATAAAAGTTTATTAGTATTAGGCATTTAGGCAGTTAACCAGCCACTATAGATAGATATGGTTCTCAAGAAATAACAAACATATTTAAGTTGTTGCCTCTTGTTTGGTGACCAGTTACTTCCTCAGATCAATTGTTGGTGACTAGGTCCGAATATCTATGTAACAACTAACAAGCTTGCAGCACCACTTACATGCACTAGTTTGAAGAGGGTGTGTTGAAGTAGTTAAGGATTTAAGGTATTTTAATGCTGTATTCATTACTAGGGGCTGTCAGTGCACCTTCAGCTGCCATATCCATCCTAAGCTATCCTAGACCTGATTCACAGCCACGTTGATATGGTTGCACATTCAATGAGACAGCTTCTCTCATTGAATCTAAATTCCAGGAATATCTGTAGCGTAGAAATGCTCAAGAAATAACATGCTTTCCCCCTATTTCAAGACAAAGGAACCACCAGACATCCAACTAGCTCTCTTTTATTTTTCCACAGCAGAAATGCCATTTGCTCAACTGAAAACTAAAATCAGCTCCCAAAACCTTTGCCAACCTGGTTTTCTAACAAGGCTTCGAAATATGGTGTGCCTCTCTTGTGATGTTATACACTTATCCTCCCCTCCCCTCCCTTGTTCTTGCATGGTCTAACAATTGTAGTCCAGAACCATAAAACACCCGGCATAAAAAAAAAGGGGCATATAGAATGTCTGTGAGAGAGTAATATCAAAGAGATTGGAAACTTTTTTTTTTGGAAACTAATAAACTATATGAGTATAACTTATGCAGCATAGAAAATAAATCCAACTCACCATGACCACAAAGACAAAAAACATATTATCAAATATGCTGATGGATCCATGTTCCTTCATATTTCTAAGAACATTTAATCCAAATACCAGTTTCATCAAAAGAAAAAAAATCATCCTGAATGAACAGTTAAAAGAGTATGAGGCTATGAAATGTATTCTCTACATGCAAAATTAAACATAAATGATAAATCAGAAATAAACTACATCATTGCATTACTGCACTAAAATTAGAAAGTATTAGGGTATAGATGGTTCCACAAGCAGAAAAAATGTGATATTTCCACCTCATTTTTTTCATGTTCAGCAAATAAGGAACAGATGATTCTTTTCCAATCATAGCCAGAATAGCTGCGAACCTTTAGATTAAGATTAAGATTACAACAACAAACTGCGATTTAATAATTACCCAGATATAAAGCGGCTTTTACGAGAACGAGCTTGAGTTGGGCCTTGAACTTCCTCAACAATGCACTGTAATTCAATAAAAAAAAGCATGGTAACAATTAACAAAGAAATGGAATCAGTACAACTAAGCAGTAAAACGCAGCCCGCCATAAAGTAGTACACCTGTGTTATGGTACTTACAACTGAAAATCCATTACTTGTCAGGTCATCCAAAGTCTGTCTAAGATTCTGTAGAAGAAACAGCAAGTCGAACATATAAAGAAAGAATGACAAATTGATTTAGCGTAAGTATAAATTAATAGCCACAATTGAAAGAGAAATGCAAAAAACAAAAAACAAAACATGAAAGGGAGAATGTCTGGAGTCTAGTACATACTTTTAGTAGCTTTTGAAGTAAAAAACAAGAGCACTCTATGATTATTAAAATCTTATTTTCTCACTTATACATTTAGTAGCCCTCTATGTATGACATAAGTCAATCATTTCAAATAGCAAAAGAAGCTGATTAATACACTAAATCTATAACCTACATGGCTATATTTGATTCAATTTCTCTTTGTACAATGTTAAAAAAAATAGTGGCAACAGTCCCATTTGTATTATATATAACGAATAATTTTGAAAGGGAGAAAATGTGTATGGAGGAATAATAATTACAGTAGTACAGTACCATAACAGGACAGCCAGCTTTCGGTATGCCGTCTGAACGAAGACCACCGCATGGATTTAAACCAGCATATTCCACAAGGATACAAGCATCAAAACCTACGGCCTCATAAAACTCACCTACCTGGAAATAACAAAACGACATGAAATCATCATTATTACCATCTGATACAGGAATCCAATATGAAGTTATAACTTCCCTTAGACATAAAAAGGTGTAAGAGAAGAAGTTATATTTGCATACTCTGCAGAGCAAAACCTCACGAGGAAATCTAGACTTGAACTGCAACATCTCCCAATTAAGTGTTCCTTCTTTCAAGCTGCAACAAACATAAAATTTCTGTGGTTTAAAACTTAATTGATCCTTTTCCAATTTCCATAACAAAAGGAATAATTGAGTGAAGAGCATAAGGACTTAGCACTACTACATGTAAAGGGGTGAAAGCGTAATGTGCACAACGACAAATGAAAAAACCCACCTCCCGTTCCTTAAGTCTGAATTTACACCCAACAAATTAGAATATGTGAGCCTCTTAACTAGTTTAATAGAAGAAGGCTTTCTCGACCTCTCCACTGTCTGAAATATTAGATCAAGAATATGAAGACAATCGGCATTATAAAGATGAGTGTGTTGTGTGTTGAACAAACAGATTGCAGAAACAGTAAATGAAGAAATTCACTCACGAATCATGTAGCCTACCTCCTTCCACCACATAATGTGAGCATAGTTCTTTTCTTCAGGTACACTCTCTAAGTGTCTGTTTGTAATTGCAGACGTTGCATAAAGCTTTTGCCGGTTGAAGCAATGAATCTGGTCACACCGCCAAGTGCTAAAAAATATTATAGCTTGACATGTATCAACTATGTTTTGCATTAAGCGATGAAGAAAACAAATTAAAATTACTAAGTACTGACAATTATTGAAATGATATAAACTATAAATGAGATTATATTGACTCTTCAGTTATCACAAAGACACGGAATATTAGAATAGTACATGATCATTCCTTTTCTTAAATGATCAGTGATCAGATATAATGATATAAGTAGTACAATTTCTTAGAAATAATTGAGTCATTTATCCTCCACCTTAAAAGGATATACGGAGTATCATACAATAACCAACCACTTCACTGAATCTGCAATAGTATGTATTACTCTATTCGTTTTGTAAACTTTTTCTGGCGAATGAAAGTGATTGGAATACGTGTCTGTTAGAGATTCTAATGGTAACGTTTAGGAAAGGGTGGAACAGAACGCATTGTTCTGCTCTGCGAACATGCAAGGGTGTACTTCCAAAAACATTTGAAGAAACCAAGGGACAAACACCAGCATATTAGCCAATGAGTAGCACTACTTCAGCAGTTCATCCTATCATATAATGGCTCTTGCCTACTACTGGCTCACACTTCTTATGTTAACATTACGCTTCTTGTGCACTTTTTGTTGTTTTACTTCAAAAGCTACTAAAGTATGTACTAGTCTCCAGGCAATTCCCCTTTCATGATTTTTTTTATGCATTTCCCTTTCAATTGTGGCTATAAATTTATACTTACGCTTTATCGCTTTGTCATTCTTTCTTTATATGTTTGACTTGCTGTTTCTTCTACAGAGTCTTAGACAGACTTTGGATGACCTGACAAGTAACATTACACTTACCTAAATGATGCTCAGGACATCATTAATTTGACCATCTATTGCCTCTTGCCTTCAATCTTTTTTTTGCTCTTTTCTAATGTCTTACTTTACCACCTTTTTATCTATTTAATTCATTACCATAAACCTATCTTCACAATACAATTAGTCGCATTGCAACTCTTCTATGTGTAACATTGTCTGCACACAAAAAGCCTCACATATCACATCCGTCCCGTCACCCCTTCCCCCACACTGCTTACAAAGAAAGACACGAAGCCATAATGAGGTTTACCTCCACTCATGACTCAACTCTATGAAGTTCTCAGAAAATAATTATTGTCTTTGAGAAAATGCAAGACAAATGCACATTTCTATAGCTCCAATTTTTAAGGTTAATGCAAATATCAGAGTTTTGGATATGCTAAAATAGGCATAACCGCATAAATTAACAAGCTTGGGCTTCTTTCCATCTCGGGTCCAGGGAAAAAATACCGAAAACGTGAACAAGATTGCAAAATTTTTTAAAAATATTTTCACTTTCTGAAGCAAGTCAAGCAACCAATGCAGAGATTCTTCGTGAATCAATTTGAAATGGTGAACTCAGAGAAATTCACCAGCTGAGATTATATATTGGAAGAGGGTGATTCTCACATGGGAAATTGCGGGGAGGAAACAGAGCAGCAGTAGCGGTGGAGAGGCGGCCGGAGAAAGTGGAACAAATACCGCCAGCCAGAGACTGATGCGACGACGTTCTTTGCTGTTAACCGGGACATCGCGTTGCTGGTTTTTAGGAGCATAAAGTAAGTATGAGAAGAGAGAATGCGGTGTTTTTGTTCTTCCCGCCAGAAGAGAGGCTGAACGTAAGTACGATGAAGGTGACGGCTCCGCTGTCGGCTAAGTGTTCCCTTGAAGAGACGAAGTCATTCAAAAAACTAAATTGCAAAATTGCAAAAACTAAAAACTGATTCTAATTCAGTTTTAGTAAGTGTTTGGATCTGATTCTAAAATTATTTATGCTCTGGAGCAGAAATCAAAATTGAAGTGTTTGGATGAAAGTGTAGAAGTATTCTTGGTGCTCTATTTTACTACTAGAAGCTGAGAGAGAATTGATTCTAAATTCTAAAAATTACTACTAGAATCAACTTCTAAAAATTGATTCTAGTTCAGATTCTAAAAAGAAACAGAAGCAGAATCAGTTCCAAACACTCCCTAAAAAAGCACTTTTTGAAGAGATTTTGGAGAAAGTGATTAGTAGTAATAAAAGTTGGTAGTATTTGAGAAAAAATGATTTTGAAAAAGTAAAGTTGGTAGTATTTGGTAAAATATGTGTTTTTTGTGTAGTAGAATAGGTAAAAAAACATTTTTCAGGCAAAAGCTGAGAAACGCTTTTTTAGTAGCAATTGTCACTTGAAAACATTTTTTTTAGCTTTTTTAAGCTAAAAGCCGAGAAATATAGAAATTCATGATAGTCACATATCTATGCATTATACTTCATATTTTGGAGAATATTGGTATATTCAACCGAAAACCCATTTTGTGTGTTCTATAAATATGTCTATGCATATAATAGTCCTTTGACTTGAGACCAATACTTATTTCATGCGTAGAGTGAAGCGCATTGACCCTGACTAACGCTTATACTCCAATCAATGTAAAGTCTCAATTTAGGATGTGTAAGGTCGAAATTTCTCTTCATGTTCCTTAATGATCTAGACATCAATGTTGTGAACAAATTTGTCTATTTCAGCGATAGCATTCACTCTAAATGAATGGACTACTGAGAGATACTTTCGAGTGGGAAAATACTATAAGGCTGGTAAAATTTGACCCAAATACCAGAAAGCGAGAGTGTTACACGTGCGATGGCTTGACATTTCGGAACAGGGTGTTTTGTCTAGGGATAATTCATATCTTCTTGTAGTTAAATCACAGAAAAATCATATCCTTCAGTTTCCGATTTTTAATAATGAAACGGAAACATCAAGTATCTTTGTGCGAGTTGACCTTTTAGGATGAAATTTTGAATCTTAACATGGTATCAAACCCAAGTCAGGTTATGATTTGATTGTTGTATAGCACTCATGTTTAAGGATATCTCAGTAAGGGTCTGTTTGCACATTAATACGTCCCGATGTTTTCGTGCCCGATTTGGGCTGAGAAGGCGTGTTGAAATTTATATTGCACACCAAATTACTGTAAATTAATAAAACACTATTTGTTTTATATTAAAACACTATATAAGATGTTGGACTACTCCTCTTGCAAGATTGGTCGTCTCAACCCCAAATAATTAGAACTCTCTCTATATCACAATATATGTTCCACCTCCTTTTTTTGACTTGTGTCAAATTACTTGTAACATTTTCTTTTTGAAAACAAATCCACTCAAAACAGCTGCAATACAATTTTAATATATTAATACAATTCTGTTACACTATCAAAAGGTGCATATTTTTGTAAAACATTTTTTCAAACAATGTGTAAAGTATGTTGAATCCATTAAATTGATACAGAAGAGTATTTTATATAAAAATGACTGGTATAATAAAAAGTAAAAAAATGTCATTGGACTTTTATGTGCATTGAATGGGAGCTCTTTTGTGTGTGAAAGCATTGGACTTCTTTTTGTGTTCCTCAAATGGAAAAAGAGGAACACAAAAAACATGAGTAATGGTTTCAGTCACACATAAAAGCTCTGATTCAAGAACACCTTTTCTAAATACAAACTTATTGAATAAAAGTAGAATTTCTTTCAATTTCTTTCTTATTCTTCTTGAAACCCGCTTTAAAATTATGTGAAATAATTAAAATCTATGACTCCGGCCAAACTATTTTTAAGGCAACTTCTTTTATGAAATGTTGTTCATATTAAATACAATTATGGACTATAAAGTATAAATGACTCAAGATATCCAAACATCTCCTGAGCTAATTGATAAGATATAGGTTCCAGGAATTAAACTTGACAATCTAATCCATCACTCTTAAGGATTATGTTTCAATGAGAACACATTCTAAAATGAGAAGTTCTTATCATGAGAATTTTTAATCGCGACCTTCAATTTTTTAGCAATAATGATCAATACTCATATGAGATCACATTTACTCTAATTCAAAAGGCGCATTTTGTGGAGTATTCCAAAAAGGAATTACTGAAAAGGAATTATGAAGGATTTACTAAACAGGATAATATAATACTCTGTATAAGACAACCCTTTCGTGACGAATTAAATTGTGAGATTTTTCCTAAAATACAACTAATAAAATATTATGTAGTTTGTGTCGGACTAGAGATCAAGCACCTTTTCGGTCTCAAACCTTATAGAACTATGTAGTTTGTGTGATACCAAGATTTCGATATACTGAAAATTGATATACCAAGGTTTTTGGGTACGATAATAATATGATATTCTCCTTACCCGAAATTTCAATAAAATATACATAACGTATCAAAGTATCAAACCAAAAATAAACAACGGAGCAAAACTCCGCAAAACCAAAGCTAGAAATCCAAACTCAAGTCAAAAATATTAGTACATCCATCCCCACTCAAATTTTCCAAAGAACGACATATATTTTGAGAAATAATATTTATGGGTATATAATATAATTAGACCATTGATAAATAACTTTAAGGAAAAATTGACAAGAATAATCTCACTATTCACTTGTCTTCTCATAATAATCTTACCTTTACATAATCCCAAAATAATCCCACATTTGCTCTCCATCTTCTTTTATTGGACCCTGACCAAGGTTTTTAGTCATATTTGAAAATCTTATATGGTGCAAAGGTGGGATTATTGTGACAAAAACAAGAGAGGAAAAACGTGGGTCTATTTGCATGGAGAGGCTCTCCTTTAGTTTACTCTTTGTTTTCTATTTTTCTGTTGTCCTTTTATTTGCTTTATATGTTCCGCATTGGAGGGTGTTTAATAGATCATCTCTTTTTTAAAATAATGGACTCACTTTTCTAAATAGACTTTCTCCATTCAATTGCCACATGAGCTCCAATGCAATCCCATTGCATTGGAGCTGCTCTAAGAGCATTTGTAATGGTAAAATGAATTGCTAAACAATGCATTGCCACGTGAGCAAAATAGACACTGCGATTAAAATATGCTCTCCAACAAAAGTGTCTGCATTTTGTGTTGTGCCGAGTTGAAATAGATAACTGTCCACAATGTCCCCTCTTCCTTCTCATTTCAAAAGGCGTGCTAGACATGATAAGTCAGCAACAAAAGGCGTATAATGTGAAATTTCTTGTTGAAACTAAAATTATTTAATAGAAAAATCCCGCAATAACAAATTTGGGTTTTTGCATCTTTCGAAGCCCATAGGAATGCCACATTTTCTTGGCATCTTCTTCAAAGTCCTAGCGATCAAGGAATCATTTCCACTAAAATTCAAATGATCACAACCAGAGAGCTCCCTGGTGTAGAAGGAATTAAACTCATAGTCTCGCAACCTCTGTAATCTGGTCAGAGTCCGTCATCCACCAGCATCAACACTGAAAAATGGGATCTCGTCTATTAGCTAGCCCGCCACCACCAACCTTGGTCCACCCCGCCGTCCACCAGCACCGGATGTGAGGCCTCGTCGTCGCCAATCAGGTGGAATGACGCCATGACGAAGCCGATTGGATTGAAGTAGTTGTCGTCTTGTTCGATGTTACCCTCGTCGACAGTATCCCTGATTTCCCTATGTTCATTCAGGGATGGACAGGTTCTAGGCCGAGCCGGTCCAAACTGGGCTTTTGGGGGGGAACCGGCCCGGGATTCCACCGGGACCGGGCTGGTTCAATTTTTTTATTTTTTTGTTTTGCTTTTCTAAATAACCCCCCCCCCCCCCCCCCCCCCCGACCCCCCAAAACACCCAGCCCAACCCGGGGAACACAAAAAAATGGAAAAAAATACCAAAAAGGGACCGAAACGGGCCCAGTCGATTCCTATTTTCCATGACCCGAGCCCGCTCTTAGTAACACCCGGTTCGAGCCTAATCGGACCGGTCCAGGGCCCGGTTTCCAGACCGGGTCAGTTCCAAACAGTGTCGAGCCAGGCCACGGGCCGGTCAGCCCAGAACCGGTCCATCCCTATGTTCATTTGATCTCCCGTTGAATACAATTTTCCATAATATTTTATAGATAGTTATCGTGTATATAGTTCTTTGGAATACATATATGCTATCTGTTGCTTTGGAGAAGAAAGTTAGAAGAATTTGTTTTTAGAGAATGCCTCAGTGAGATATTTACCCAAAACCACATTTGCGTTGGAGTTAAAATTTTAATGTTAAATGGGTATGTCTAATGTCTCCATGTCAACTTCACGGCTGTTTAAATTGATGATATGTCCATTTATTATGGAGAACAATCCACATCTCCATTAAAAATGCTCTATATATGTCAATTACCAGTCCAACCATTTATTTCCTCACATGTGGTAAATATATAATATACAGAGTAATATTTAATATTTAGTACCTCCGTCTAGGGATGGACTCAACCGGGCCGGCCCGGCCCGGAACCGGCCCGGCCCGGCCCGGAACCGGCCCGGCCCGGCCCGGAACCGGCCCGGCCCGCCACTGTGCAGGCCCGGCCCGGAACCGGGACTGGTGAACCGGTTCGGGCTTTGACCCGGCCCGGGGGGGTTTGGCGGTTCGGGTCCGGTTCATTTGTTTGGTGGCCCGGCCCGGCCGGTTCGGGCCCGGGTCGGGCCTAACGGTTAGTTTTTAAAAAAAAAAAAAAATTTTGTTTTTCAGCCAAACAGGCCTTATGGCCGTTGGCTTTCAACCCAAACGGCTCTATAGCCGTTGGGAGCCTTCCAGGGGGTCCCGGGTTGGGGGGTGGGGGGTGGGGGGGGTGGGGGGGTGGGGGTGGGGTACTAAATATCTATAAATACTCCATTTTTTCTATACACTTTACTACACATCTTCTC